TATGTGATGCTTCAGGCAATTTTGATTTTGCAGCTTGCATCCCAGGCACCAGAGGTATAAATGCTAGACATTATCTATAAAGAGTAGCCGTTATGACTGTTGGACTTCTCTATAATATAATGGTAGCTATTTCACTAGAAAACCCAGTTTTATTGGTACTATTTAATGGTGAATCATATTTGCTTAGATTGAGGTTCTGTGTCTCAATTGACTGATTAGCGTTGACTGATAAGTGTTTCTGGCATCAGATAACATTGAAATGGTAAAAAAAAATTTGCACTCTAATTTGATTCTTGTTCCTTTCCTATAAATGCAGTGGACATCTCTACCACTTTTCTTTCATTTGCCCTTGAAACCAAGTGAGACAACGCATAGAAAGTGTTTTGTAAGGGCGCCTGGGTGGCTCAGTCTCTTGAGTTTCTGACTGTTGGTTTTGGCTCAGGTCATGATCTCAGGGTTGTGGGATTGAGCCTTGAGTGGGGCCCCACGCTCAGCAGGGAGTCCGCTTGGGATCCTCTCCCTCTCCCTCCACTCCTTCCCTGCTCATGCGCATGCGCTCTCTCTCATAAATAAAATCTTTTAAAAACAGAAATTGCTTTGTACAGAAAATGGTATTTTTACTGTGTTATTACTGGTCTTAAGAAATGTAGTAGCAAGAACACCTTTAGCATCATCATCCTTGTGGGTTCATTCTGGCTCTAGAGCTAATTTAGTTGCGTGACCTTGGGCAGATGACTTCACGTCTCTGGTCCTTGGGTATCTGTAAGATGAGAGGCGTGGATGGGGACGTCGGGGTCTTCGGCAGAAAGTGGTAAGAGCATCTGTTTTGCGGCGCGGGCATGGCACGGGCCTGAGAGTAAGTATACCGAGTGGGTCCTCCTGTCAGCGGCTGAGAACACAGTTAAAGATTAATTTTTTTAATTTTTATTTTTGTGTGTGAGAACCTTGATGCAGTAGGTAACTGCTCTTTTCCTTCTGTTTATTTCATTCAGTTTTCTTCATAACTGTGTGTGTACTTCTTTTCCTTATATACATGAAGTTTGTCCTGTCTTCCATTGTGTTCTTTGTTGGCGTTTCCATTTCACTTTCCTTGTGTTTCATTCCTGTATCTTTCTTGTTTAGACCAAGTGGAGCACGCAGCTGGCAGTAGCTTCTATGTAGGACCCTTCAGGCACCTGATGGTAAGTGCACACGTGTACTTACCAGGCTCCCAGCGGGCTCTGCTGGCCGGACCCATTCCCGAGGCCCCTCCTGCCTCACAGACGCGAACAAGTCCCCACGCCCCTTTGTAAGAGTCCTTAGAGGTTGTTTTGGTTATAGGCTTGTTTTTGTCTTCTCTTTTAGTTTGATTACAAATAGAACAGAAACCAAGTATCAGGAAAAGAAATTTACTTACAGAATTGTAGCAGGTTCCCCCACCTGTTATTCTGTTACCGCAGTATTTGGCTTTGTGAGTGACACCAATCATGCCTAAGTGTGAGTCGGGACACCCGGGCCCTAATTTCTGTTCTCTCGTAGACTGATTATGAGTCCTGCTGGGGCCGTGGCCTTCATTTTTCTCTCAAAATAGCAGGTAGGACAGGTGGTTTCCATAGCCCCTTTATCTCTAGTCTACGGTCCTAATGGAAAGTAACTCCAGTGTTAGATGGTTCTGATTAAGATTGTGAGGATCATTTCATGTGTCTGGTAATCTCAGTCTCATGAATGAATGATAATTAGATTCATGATAGACTCATTTCCACGATAAACTAGGTCTGTTAGTGTTCACCAAAGTTACTTGGGAATACATTTAATTGTTCTTTAATTTTTACAAGTGGCTTATTAGTGGGATTCAAAAACTTTTAAAATTCTTAAATATATAGACTGCAGAGCCCCATTATATCTTTCCTGACCTGTATTGTATTGGTTCAGCCCAGTGGTTCTTAACCTGGGGAGGCCTCTCATCCCCACCCTGGACATTCGGCCGTGTCTGGAGACTTTGGCTTATCACAGTTAAAAGTGGAGGTGCTACTGGCATTTAGTGGGTGGAGGTCAGGGATGCTGCTAAACGTCCTCCAGCGCATCGGTCAGGCCCACGACAGAGGAAATCATTTGGGGGACGGACGCCTGGGCAGCCTGTGGGCCTCTCAGTAGGATGCACGTGTCCCTACTTCAAGTGGTTTCTCTTCATAGGGAATCAAGGTTTCCTGGTCTTGTTTTTTTAAAGAGGGCACCTGGAGGTGGGGGGGAGGGGGTTGTGCACTTCTCACCGATTCGGTTTAGAGAGGCCAAAAGTAGACACTGACACTCAGTATCAGCTAGGTGTTTTGTTTTTTTTTTTAAAGATTTTATTTATTTATTTATTTGACAGAGAGACACAGTGAGAGAGGGAACACAAGCAGGGGGAGTGGGGGAGGGAGAAGCAGGCTCCCCGTAGAGCAGGGAGCCCGATGCGGGACTCGATCCCAGGACCCTGGGACCATGACCTGAGCTGAAGGCAGTTGCCCAACCAACTGAGCCACCCAGGCGCCCCAGCTAGGTGTTTTAATATTCTTTTAGGCCGGGAATAAAACTTAAAGTAGTACTTTTGCCTAAGTAGGTAGTTGTGTGATTTCAGTCTGAATATGTATTAGTGAATGGTATTATTAAAGTTGTGCTGTTTCATTGTAATATATATCTAGGAACTTCACTTATTTAATACTCTGTTTATATATATGGCCAATTTTTTGTATGACCTGCTAACCAGCTTTGTATAGCACTTGAGAGGCTGCAGAAAATCTTTGAATTGCTTTTGTAAGGGATTGTATTACAATAAATTGACATCTGTTTTTCTGTTAAATTTCTCAGTGTGACTTGTTTTAATGTATGTAAGATTTATGCGTAACAGGCCAAGTGTCCACTATGCCTCCATTTTTACTTATTTCCAAAGCTCAGACCTCTACAGAGTAGGAAGTAAGGGGTGAGAAAGGGTCATTCCTTGGGCTGTTTGGGGTACATGAGGTGGTTGGTACATAATGTCTTACAACATTTTTGTGTTTGTGATCCAGGGAAAAACTTCCCTGGATATAACTTTTGAATTAAGCATCCTGGAGCCCAGGAGTCCTTACACGGTCCTCAGCAGACATGGGCTGCAGCGTTAGGGCAATTCTGTTAGCTGCCTGTAATCATTCCTGCTACACCAGTGATTGGGTAGGGACTGGGCATCACACAGAGGGAAGGGCATCTGTCGTCGTGAGGATAAGAGAACTGGCTGGAAGTAGATGGAATCCAGACGTCCTGAAGCATAGCTGGATTCCTCAAGAACCTTGTCATCATCAGATTTAGGTTTAGTGCCCTTCAGTTGACAAAGGGAGAAGGAATTGCAAGAGAAGGTTACTGCTTCCACTGTGAAAAGGTGTTTCCGTGTCCTTGCCCTTTACAGAGGGGATTGGTTTATAATGCTTCCACCTGCAGGCTCTTGGCTTCTTTTCTTACCAGCATGTGGTTCCAGTGAAGTGCCTGCTTGGGTCCTGAGTTCCATTTTAGATGCCTTTGGAAATGAGGGATGGACATGTTATTGGGAAGTTATTTGAGCGAACTCTTAACATCATGGCAGAAAGCGTCAAAGCATCTTTTTTTTTTTTTTTTTTCCCCACAGACTGAAGACTTAGGAATTTAAAATAGTATTTTAGAATTTGCCTAAGACTGACAAATGGCCGATTATTGAGTATTTTGTACTTTTCCTCCCTTGTTTCATCTCTTTAATTATTTGCCAAAATCTGGTGGTGCTTTTTTTAGGATTAGTATTTGCTTCATATGATAATCGATGTTTCCATTTTTAACTGTGATGAACTTCTCAATGTTACTTGTGTGTGTCGCACCTCATTTTCATGTGTTGTCTCTATTTTCGTTACTGATGTTCCTCAGTAGTGGTGCTCTGTTACAGAGAATACCGTTTTCCAGGAGCACTGAGTGGTTTCTTGTTTGTCAAGAGGCTTGTTCTGAAAGAGAAAGGACCGCTCTGTGAGGTGTGCTGGGGAGAGCATTGCAGGAGGAGAAGAAAGAAGTGTTCGGGGAGGTTGAGGAGGGAACCTGCTCTGAGTCTGAAAACTGAACAAGAGCTACCAGGAAAAAGAAACTTGGAATTTAAAAAAAAATAGAAAAGAAGGGCCACAAATTCTGGTTAAATCCCAAAGAGACTCAGCTTCCAAACCTTCAGTATTAGTACATAGAAAAGAAGGGCCACAAATTCTGGTTAAATCCCAAAGAGACTCAGCTTCCAAACCTTCAGTATTAGTACTTTTCTAGAGAATGGCTTATCCATATTGAATATCTTGGTGACCTGAGCTCATTGTTCCAGCTTGTCAGAAATGCATTGCATTTTAGTCTTACCTTCTAAACTGTGGGATTGGTTGGAATGCAGTTAGTGTTTCCTGAATTCCATTCTTCCAGTTGTTAATGAAATCCTGAATTGTACTGGACCTGGAGTCGAGTCCCTGGGGACCCTCAGAAGTCATGCTGGCTTGATAGTGAAGTATTCGTAATTACTCTGCATTTGATATTTGAGCCACTGCGCATATGCATCCTTTGCGATTCAGCGGAGCCTGCTTCTGGTGTTTTGCTTTGACAGTTGTGGATAAGCGTGTCTTAACTAAAAGGGACCCAAGTTATACCGTCTTTTTTTTCCCCAGTGTGCTTCTTACAAACAATCAGACTTTGCCAGTCCTTATTACTTGTGTGGTATTGAAACTCGGTGTTAGTTGTCTCTCTCATTTTCCTCTGACATCAGTATTTTTAACTTTTCTAGAATAGATGAGCTGTTAGTTTGATAGGGGAACTAATGCCCAAGAATACAGGGTTTATCGGTTTCTTTTTTTTCTCTAACATGACTTAAAAGTATTCTTATTCATTGTCTGTTCCTTTCTTAACTGATAGGATAATTGCCTAGAAATCTACAGTTTGCTGTCATTGGATTAGTAATTGTCTTTTTCAAGAATTCAGGGTAATAGTGAGTAAGTAAATAAATACATGTTGTGTTTTAGGGAAGAAAAAATCCCAGGAAAGTAAAAACAAAGCAAACAAAACCGAAGACCTACAGCTGAAGACTAGCGAGCCAGATTCTGCTTCTGCAAATATGAGAGATTCTGCGGAAGGTAAGCTTGGAAGTTGGACTTGTATGATTTGGGTATGTATCACCAGTTACTGTAAATCTCCTTGGGATGCCCTTTTGAGGCTTCACCCAAAAACTGGATAGGGTTAACAGCAAATGGCTACCTGAATTTATATGTGGTGAACTGAGCCTTCCACATCTCACCTCCCCTTAAAAATACTATTAAAGACGTTCTTTGTTAAAAACAGAACTATTCCCTGGTTAAAATGAAATGAAACATACTATGTGATTATATTTATAAATACTTTATAAAGTTCAGAACCATCAAAACAAATCTCTGGTGATAGAAGTCAGACTGGTAGGGACTTGAGAAGGCTTCTCGGACACTGGCACTAGTCCATCACTGAGCAGTGTGGGGGGTACAGCAGTGTATTTACTCTGTAAATGTTTTATCTAGCTATATACTTATGATTTATATACTTAACATTGTTATGTTTTGCACTTCAGTTAATTGAAACATCAAACACCTATGATTTTATATCATAGTGTGCAGAGTGAAGAGTTCTTTTTTTTTTTTTTTTTAAGATTTTATTTATTAGAGAGAGGGAGCACGAGCAGGGGCAGAGGGAGAAGCAGACTCCCCGCTGAGCAGGGAACCCACCGTGGGGCTGGATCTTAGAACCCTGGGATCGTGCCCCTTGTATTTTGTTAGAAATTAAATTTCTATTTTATTTCCTCGTGTTTCTCCACTCCACATTTTCTTCTTTATCATCCCTTCTAAGGCTTGATATTCTAGGCCCTCCATGATATGAGAATTCAGAGAGAGGCATGGATTGAAAGTTCATCAGAAAGGCAGATTGCTTTGTGCTCCTTGTAGTTGAACGACCATATTGAGACCATTGATAATAGAAACGAGGGAGGCATGTATTAATTCGTTATGTGGCAAATACTTGCAGAGACTGGAGCTTTCTAAGAATTATTTGTAGTGACCTAAACAGGCAGATTTCAAAATATAGGCTTGTGACTCTTTCAAGAAACATTTGTAGAGAAAAAAAAAAAAAACCCAACAATATTTTGGATGCCTTTTATAAAGGGTGAAAGATTGATGTGATCTGAAGAGAAACCCCAGAGTATTTGGATGCCTTTTATAAACCACTTTATTAGCACTGTTTGCAGTGATGACGTTCATAAAGGATTATAATTTCCTGTGGCATTTTGTGAATCAAGAACAGACAGGTTGATTTCCTAGAGCCTTATAAAACTAAGTTCTGTGTGCTGATACCAGATTTGCTGATTAAGACTTCTGTTTGAACAACAGCACAAATACTGAAGAATCTCAGTGCCTTTAGTGGCAGAATTAAAGAAGAAAATCTAACAGCCCTGTCTCTCCCCTTCAGTAATTGAAGTCAGGTTATTTATTCCTGATACAATATTAGGTCCTAGGAAGAAAAGTACCTAATATTTATCTGTTTGTGGAGTAGCTGATGAAAGTGTGATTGGTTCCTTACAGGCTAGTTGTCAACTTTTCCTGAGTGTTCGGCATTGTCCTCAGCAAGTGGTCTGTGTCCTGAGCAAAACAGTCCAGACTCTTCCTTGTGTTCCCCAAACCTTCCTTTATTTTTAAAACTCAACAGACCTCATTGAGTGTGTGGATACACGTTGGTGTGGACCTTACTAGTTAATTAATAGAGCTCTGAGTGTTTTGTTCCCTATTACTTTGGACAGTTTTAAGTCTGGGATTGTTTACCAATCACAGGGAAAGAAAAATTTTTTTTCCCCCACAGTAACAGAAGCCACAGATTTTGGCTAAAAATAGACTCTAAAATTTCTAAGCCTTAGAGATGTTCTTTTCATTTTCTGTTGTCTCATTTTGACTTTTTTAGCAAGCTGGGTCTTTGTTGAAAATGTATTTGGAAAGGGAGTTAGCTTCTACCACCATCAAATGACTGGTGTCCCAGTCTGTGGAGAACTCGTGGGATTAATGAAGTTTGTCTTAGGGGAGAGAAGGAGAAGGCTGGTCTGTTGGGGGAGAGGTAGTGGACAGACAGGTAAAAGTAAGGCCAGGGGGCTGGGACTGAGCAGGTGAGCTTTCCACGAATACCTGGTGTTTGCAGAGCTGGGAATGGTTGGCCTTTTTAGCCCGTCCTCCCCACATCCAGGTGGTCCCTGGGTCTGTTGACAGGTCTCTTCTCTTGACAGTCTGGCCACTCTTTTGTGTGTCCATTGCTTCCTTCCATTTCCATCTCTTAGTGTGGGCCCCACCCTCTCCCTTCTAATACCCCAGCCTTAGAATTCCTGCCTTCAGGATTGTCCTCCTCCCAATCCCGTAAGCCACATTGCAGCCAAATCTCCCAAACGGCACTCTCCTGCTTTAAAATACCTTAATGGAGCCCCACTGCCCCCAGGTAAGTCCAGACTAATTTCTAGTGTGATACATGTTTTGATTCCTCCTGCTTGCTTTTCGAAACTTTTCTGTCCTTGACCTTCAGGTTCAGTCTGCTCAGTCCTTCCTTCCCTGATGAACAAAGTCATTATTAGGAGTTTCTCCCGCATTCTTCGGTAGCAACCCGTACTTCCCCAAAGCATGGTCATTAATTCAGGACAGTCTTGTTGCTGCTTTCTGGTACGTGGCCCCCGTTAAAGTGAAGCTCTGCCAGGATAAGGGTCTTGACAGTCCTGTTCACGTAGTACTGCCATATAGTAAATATTGGCCCAGTGAATGAAGAGCCAGAAGTCCGAGGAGCTCTGCTTCCTTTACAGAGCCTTTCTGAATGCAGGTTTCATTTTCTTAAAAGGGGCCTAATTCAGCAGGGACTCAGGTGGTACTGTAGAGAAAGCAGCGCCATGGACCATCCCTGTGAGCACTAAATGGGCTTGTGATAGTGCCTGTCTTAGAGCAAGGGTGCTGTCCCTGTGATTCTTTCCAGCCGCTTCTCCACTTCTCGCTTTCCTTGATAGCGTCACTCTAGCCTCCCTGTCTCCCTGCTCTGTCCCTTTTCTTAGGAACTCCATTAGGCATTTGTCCCCACTGCTCTGCTAGAACTGTTGTCACCACCACCACACCTCCACCTTGATAAAGTGGATGCTTAGCCCTCTGTCCTCCTCTTAGCCAACCCATTCGTAGTTCCGGACACAGCTGATCGCTCCCTCCTTTTGGAACTTTCTTTGCTCTTCTTGGCTCTCCAGGTAACCTCACTGGCCGTTCTTCTGACCTGTAAGTCCTGGAGTCATCGGGGGACCGTCTTCCCGCCTCTTTTCTGTCTGCATTCGTTCTCCAGGTGGCCTCCTGCAGTCCTGGGCTCCAAATGCCACTTCGGTTTGAGGACTTGTAGAGTCGGGGCTCAGCCTCTGTTGAACTGGAGTCCTGTAAAACAGATGACTTAATGTCTTTACCCAGGGGTGTGTGTGTCCCAAAGCAACTCTTGATTTCCCCTCAGCACACACACTCACCGGCGGGGGGCCGGGGGCGGGGGAGCTCAGACCTACTTTTCCCTCAGTCTTTCAGTAGATAGTATTACTACAGTTGCTGTGGAATCCTCCTTGACTCCTCCCTCTCCCTCCCTCTCCTGCCCACCACAGCCGGTCAGCAATCTTGTCAGCCTTTTATCTTCAAAATATATCCAGTGTCTGACCACTTACCAGCACCTCTCCCTGCCTCCATCCTTGTCCACCTAGAGTTTTCCTTTTGTCAGTCCCTCCGCACCCCAGCCTTTCTGACTTCTTGCTGTTTTTTTGAACACATCTAACATGTTGACTCAGCTCATGCATCTGCTGTTTCCTCTGTCTGGTGGGCTTCCCTCCCCCAGATACTTGTAGGACTCATTTTCTTTAGGCCTCTGCACCACTGTCATCTTACTAGTGAGCCCCTTCCTGACCACCTGTCTGCCATCTACCTCAGGTTGGGCTCAGGTGGGTTTCTTCTGGGTATAGAGACTCAGAAGTCACTTCGGGTCTTTATTTCCTTCTTCAGATGCTCCTGAGTTCTTTTTTCTTTCTATTAAGTTTTTATTTTAATTCCAGTATAGTTAATATACAGAGTTATATTGGTTTCCAGTGTACAATGTAGTGATTCAGTAGTTCTGTACGTTACTCTGCTCATGATGGTAAGTGTACTCTTAATCCCCATCACCTGTTTCACCCATCCCCCCCCCCCCACCTCTGGTAACCACCAGTTTGTTCTCTGTAGTTAAGAGTCTGTTTCTTGGTTTGTCTTTTTTTCTCTTTTTTCCCCTTTGCTCATTTGTTTCGTTTTTTAAGCCCCACACGTGAGTGAGATCATATGATGTTTGTCTTTCTCTGACTGACTTACTTTGCTTAGCATTATACTCTAGCTCCATCCATGTTGTTGTTGCAAATGGTAAGATTTCATTCTTTTTTATGGCCGAATAATATTCTTGTGTATGTGTGTGTGTTTATATACCACATATTCTTTATCCATTCAACTATCGATGGACGCTTGGGCTGCTTCCAGAGATTAGCTGTTGTAAATAATGCTGCAGTAAGCATAGGGGTGCATGTATCCTTTTGAATTAGTGTTTTTGTATTTTTGGGGGGGTAAATACCCAGTAGTGTGATTACTGGATCTTACGGTAGTTCTGTTTTTGATTTTTTTTTTGAGGCACCAGTTTGCATTCCCACCAACAGTGCATGAGGGTTTGAGGGTTCCTTTTTCTCCACAGCTCCTGAGTTCTTAATAATTTGATTAGGCTTGGAAAATGTCCTAGCTTCTAAATACATAGTTTTGGCCAGGAAGGAGGGAAAGAATCATTCTATTCAAGACAGCCTACGAAGAACCTAACCTGGTAATGTGACTAACAGTTTTCTAGTTTCAGTTTGGAATCATAAGGAATAGAATTCACAACAAGACTCCTGATATATCCAGTATTACTGGATACTGGATCCGAATCCAGTCCCGAATCCAGGATTGTGTCAATATCCAACACAGGTGTTTTTTTTTTTTTTTTTTTTTAAGGTTTTGTTTATTTATTTGAGAGAGAGAATGCAAGAGAGAGAACAAGCATGGCGAGGGGCAGAGGGAGAGGGACAAGCAGGGAGCCCAGCGTGGGGCTCGATCCCAGGACTCTGGGATCCTGACCTGAGCCTAAGGCAGATGCTTAACTGACTGAGCCACCCGGGCGCCCCTCCAGCACAGTTTTAAGTGCTACAATTTCTGTCAACACAATTGTATTTATATGTGTGTGACTGAACACAGAAGAGATTCGAAGGTCCATGTGGCCACACTTTGTTCACGTACGTATCCTCATCGCACGGTGTATGGCCTGGTGTGTAGCAGGCGCTCTGTAAATATTTGTTGAGTAAGTGAACAAAATGGATTCCTATTCAATATAGTTTCATAAATGGGAAGGTAGAGCTTTTTATTGCTGGTCACACTCTCCCACATGTATCTTCGGTGATAAGAGAAATGGCTTGCATAGTAAGAATTGATCATAAAGTGGCTAGATTTTGTCCTCAAGCCTGTGCTTCTGCTTCCCTGTGCTTTCTAGGTCCCAAAGAAGAGGACGAGAAGGCGTCAGCCTCTGCAGTGGAGCAGACGGCCGTTCTTCAGGAGGCGGTCAGTCAGGATGTGCCTCCGGAGCTTGTCGTCCCCCCTGCCGCCTGTGAGCCCCGCACGGAACCAGACGAGAGGCCAGCAGCCACGAACTGTGAGGTGAATGATGTGGAGGAAGAGGAGGAAGAGGACGAGCTGGAGGAAGAGGACGAGCTGGAGGAAGATGGGGAGGAAGAAGCTGACATGCCAAATGAAAGTTCTGTGAAAGAGCCAGAAATCCGATGTGATGAGAAGCCGGAAGATTTACTAGAAGAACCAAAACATGTGTCAAAAGAAACGCTTGCAGGCTCTCCGGAGGTTCCACCTGTTTGCAGAACTCCCAAAATGAAAGAAGAGGCCAATGGCGACATCTTTGAGACGTTTCTGTTCCCGTGTCAGCACTGTGAGAGGAAGTTCACGACCAAGCAGGGGCTCGAGCGCCACACGCACATCCACATGTCCACAGTCAATCATGCTTTCAAGTGCAAGTACTGCGGGAAGGCATTCGGCACGCAGATCAACAGGAGGCGGCACGAGCGGCGCCACGAGGCGGGGCTGAAGCGCAAGCCTGGGCCCGCGCTGCAGCCGCCCGTCGACCCGGCAGACGGCAGAGCCCCCGGAGACCGCGCCGCCGCCGCCGCCGCTGCGCATGGCTCGCCGCCCTCCGGCCTCGGGCAGGACTCTCTGCTCTCGCATTCAGAGAAGGCCCCCCTGGAAGCGGTCAGTTCTTCTGTTGTAGAGGAGAACGGGGACGTTAAAGAGCTGCATCCGTGCAAGTACTGTAAGAAGGTGTTTGGAACGCATACGAATATGAGACGGCATCAGCGTAGAGTGCACGAGCGCCATCTGCTCCCCAAGGGCGTGCGGCGGAAAGGGGGCCTCCTGGAGGAGCCACGCCCGCCCGCGGAGCAGGCCCCGCCCGCCCAGAGTGTCTACGTGCCCAGCACGGAGCCAGAGGAGGATGGGGAGGCAGAGGACGTGTACATCATGGATATCTCCAGCAACATCTCGGAAAACCTAAAGTTCTATATTGATGGCAAAATTCAGACCAGCAGCAGCACGAGTAACTGTGACGTCATCGAGATGGAGTCCAGCTCGGCCGACTTGTATGGGATCAATTGTCTGCTTACTCCAGTTACGGTGGAGATCACCCAAAACGTAAAGACCACGCAGGCCGCCATAGCAGATGATCTTCCTAAAGAGCCTTCCAGCGGCACGAACAGCGAGTCCAAGAAACGGAGAACCGCGAGTCCTCCTGCGCTACCTAAAATCAAAGCGGAGACGGAGCCTGAGCCCTCGGTGCCCTCGTGTTCCTTACTGCCTCTCAGCATATCCACGTCAGAGGCAGTGTCTTTCCACAAGGAAAAAAGTGTGTACTTGTCATCGAAGCTCAAACAACTCCTTCAGACCCAGGACAAGCTAACTCCTCCTGCAGGCATTTCAGCGACCGAAATACCGAAGTTAGGGCCCGTTTGTGTGTCCGCTCCCGCGTCCATGCTCCCCGTGACCTCGAGTCGGTTTAAGCGGCGGACCAGTTCTCCTCCCAGTTCCCCACAACACAGTCCTGCCCTTCGAGACTTTGGAAAGCAAAGCGAAGGCAAAGCAGCGTGGACTGATGGAGTTCTAGGTTCCAAAAAGCCCAAATTAGAAAGTCACAGCAACTCACCCGCGTGGAGTTTATCTGGGAGAGAGGAGAGAGAAGCCGTGAGCCCGCCATGCTTTGACGAATATAAAGTATCTAAGGAGTGGGCGGCCAGTTCTACTTTTAGCAATGTGTGCAACCAGCAGCCACTGGATTTATCCAGCGGTGTCAAACAGAAGGCTGAGGGCACAGGCAAGACTCCGGTCCAGTGGGAATCTGTATTAGATCTCAGTGTGCATAAGAAGCCTTGTAGTGACTCTGAAGGCAGGGAGTTCAAAGAAAACCATCTGGTGCAGCCAGCCTGCAGTGCTATAAAGAAAAAGAAACCAACTACCTGCATGCTGCAGAAGGTTCTTCTCAATGAGTACAATGGCCTCGACTTACCTGTAGAGAGCACTGCAGATGTGACCCGGAGCCCGAGTCCTTGTCAGTCCCTGGACCCCCAGCCGGACGCTGGCCTTGGCCCAGACTCCAGTTCATCGGCCCCTGTGTCTGAGTCCCCACCCGATGTTTCTCCTTCCTCGCCTGCCCTACAGACCTCTTCCCTTTCTTCTGGGCAGTTGCCTCCTCTCTTGATCCCAACACACCCCTCTTCCCCCCCAGCCTGTCCTCCCGTGTTGACTGTTGCCACACCACCGCCTCCACTCCTTCCTACTGTCCCTCTTCCGGTCCCCTCTTCCGAGGCATCTCCCTGTCTGTGTCCCTCTCCGCTCTCGAATGCCACCGTGCAGTCCCCGCTTCCCATTCTCTCCCCTACGGTGTCTCCGTCACCGTCTCCCATCCCTTCCGTGGAGCCGCTCACGTCTGCTGCTTCGCCCGGACCCCCGACCCTTTCCTCGTCTTCTTCCTCGTCGTCTTCCTCGTCTTCTTCCTTCTCCTCTCCGTCTTCCTCCTCTTCCCCCTCGCCGCCACCGCTCTCAGCAGTCTCCTCTGTTGTTTCCTCTGGGGATAATCTGGAAGCTTCTCTGCCCATGATAACTTTCAAGCAGGAGGAACTAGAGAATGATGATCTGAAACCCAGGGAAGAACTCCAGTCTGCAGTTGAACAGGAGATTGTTCAGGAAACATTCAACAAAAACTTCGTCTGCAATGTCTGTGAATCACCTTTTCTTTCCATTAAAGATCTAACCAAACATTTATCTGTCCATGCTGAAGAATGGCCCTTCAAATGTGAATTTTGTGTGCAGCTCTTTAAGGCTAAAACTGATCTGTCAGAACATCGCTTTTTGCTTCATGGAGTTGGGAATATCTTTGTGTGTTCAGTTTGTAAAAAGGAATTTGCTTTCTTGTGCAATCTGCAGCAGCACCAGCGAGATCTCCACCCAGACAAGGTGTGCACCCACCATGAGTTTGAAAGTGGCACCCTGAGGCCCCAGAACTTCACCGATCCCAGCAAGGCCCATAGAGAGCATATGCAGAGTTTGCCAGAAGATCCTTTAGAAGCGTCGAAAGAAGAAGAAGAGCTAAATGACTCCTCCGAAGAGCTTTACACAACCATAAAAATAATGGCTTCTGGCATAAAGACGAAAGACCCAGATGTCCGACTGGGCCTCAATCAGCATTACCCGAGCTTTAAACCGCCCCCATTTCAGTACCATCACCGAAACCCCATGGGCATCGGCGTGACGGCCACAAATTTCACGACACACAATATCCCACAGACGTTCACCACTGCCATTCGCTGCACAAAGTGCGGGAAGGGTGTTGACAACATGCCGGAGTTACACAAACACATCCTGGCGTGTGCTTCTGCCAGTGACAAGAAGAGGTATACCCCTAAGAAAAACCCAGTCCCCTTGAAACAGACCGTACAGCCCAAAAACGGTGTGGTGGTTCTAGAGAACTCCGGGAAGAACGCCTTCAGACGGATGGGACAGCCCAAAAGACTGAACTTTAGCGTCGAGCTCAGCAAGATGTCCTCGAACAAGCTCAAACTAAACGCGCTGAAGAAAAAAAACCAGCTTGTCCAGAAAGCAATCCTTCAGAAGAACAAATCTGCGAAGCAGAAGGCCGACTTGAACGCCGCCTGTGAGCCGGCCTCACACGTCTGCCCGCACTGCCGCCGGGAGTTCACGTACGTCGGGAGCCTCAACAAGCACGCCGCCTTCAGCTGTCCCAAAAAGCCGCGCTCTCCTGCCAGAAAAAACGTTGCCCACTCCTCCAAGAAAGGCGGGCACGCTTCCCCTGCAGAGAGCGACAAAAACAGCAGCGGCCACCGGCGGCGCACGGCGGACGCGGAGATCAAGATGCAGAGCATGCAGGCTCCTCTGGGCAAGACCAGAGCGCGCAGCTCGGGCCCCACTCCCGTGCCGCTGCCCTCCTCGTCCTTCCGGTCCAAGCAGAACGTCAAATTCGCGGCTGCGGTCAAGGCCAGAAAGCCAAGCTCCTCCTTAAGGAACTCGAGCCCAATGAGAATGGCGAGAATAACTCACGTCGAGGGGAAAAAGCCCAAAGCGGTGGCCAAGAACCATTCTGCCCAGCTCGCCAGCAAGACGCCCCGGGGCCTGCACGTGCGGGTGCAGAAGAGCAAGGCCGTCCTGCAGAGCAAAGCCGCTTTGGCCAGTAAGAAAAGAACAGACCGGTTCAATGTAAAGTCTCGAGAACGGAGCGGGGGGCCGGTCACCCGGAGCCTCCAGCTGGCGGCCGCTGCCGACCCGGGGGACGGCAGGAGGGAGGACGGCGGTGGCAAGCAGGAGCTGAAGGACTTCAGGTAAGCCGAGTCTTCCAGGGCCAGAGGAAGTCCGAGCTGACGAGCGCGGGGGGGAAAGACGGTTGGAAGAACACCATATTCTTGCCCAATGGCTGTTTTTTCCTTTTTTCCTGTAGAATTTTGACATAAGCATTTAAAGGAAGTAGCTGTTGGTTCAGTTGGAGGCACGAAGAAGGGTCGCGGCTTTGGCTGCCTCAGACCTGAATTCCCAGCTTTTGTGTCAGACCTAGGACTCACCGAGTGGTACCGTTTCTTTATTAGGGCCGGTTGTGAATTGAACTTAAAACCATGACAGAGCTCCCCAAAGTACCCCATTATGAAAAGGTGAAATTCTCTCACACTTCCTTCATATCTTGGGTGATATCTCAGTGTCACGTTGTATTATTTCCGGATCATAGACCATTGCTCCTGGTTACGGTTGGAACTTCACCGAAGTCCGTTGAAACCACGTTGCCGGCTTGTTTAATATTTCTGTGCCCGGAGCATAGTTACCGTATTGAGCATGCTTTTATTGTTCATGCTTTCTTGGGTTGTAATTTGAAAAAATTGCCTCACTGGTTAAAACCAACACCCAGCACCGGACTCTCTCTTGAGATGCCTTATTCCACACACACCCCCCGCCCGCTCCCCCCAACCAACCCACTCCTGGCTCCAGACAGAGGATAAGAAACAGGCCAGATTCTGAAGAAAGGAGAGGAGGGAGCGCTGAGAGCCTTGCAGTGGGGGCAGAGTCTGGCAGGCCCCTCGGACAGGTGTGGCAGCCCAGGGCAGGTCGGCCCCATGTGTCAGCAGCGCCTTTGTTCCCCCAGCAATGGCGGAAGACTTCATCTTAGGTTGGAGGTGATCTCACTGTTCTGTTCTGTGTCCTCCCTGTATTAAGAACTGTTCTCAGCGGCACATTGAAAACACAGGGCGACAGTTAAATATGTCATACTGACTTTTCAGATTTTCCAAGTTAACTCAAGTAACCCGAATTGACGTTGCGTTCTCGGAATCCCTGTTGCCTGGATAATGCCTCCAGGTGAATCCTGTGTGAAATAGTCAACATCAGATAGAATTTCTGCAAAATACTTTAAAATCTTGTCCTTTCAGAGTGATGAGCTGCTCGGCTCTAGGCTTTCTTGGCTGTAACTTTCAGTGTCTGAAAACTCTTTGGTGTTTCAGGCAAACCATTAGAATGAGTTCTGGGGAGTGACTGCCATTTTGGAGAGGTCACGAGGACTCAGGTGCTGTTATCACTGCACAGTTGATGAGTGGAGTTCTTGGTGCTGGTGTGCCTTAAGTCGTGGCTAAAGAAAGATGTAGAGAAGGGTCATTGGCCAAGGCTGATTGGAATGATTTACCGTAGGAACGAAGGGTCGCATTTTTAAGAAGCGACTTTCGTGAGTGAACTAAATAATCCGTCACGGTAGTTCCAATTCAGCATCTGGTCTCTGGCCATGGCATATGCATTAATATAGCATCTTGGAGCTTAGCCCTGGTGAAAATGCACACCTATGTATCAGCTGTTCAAGCTGCCTGCCTGTGGCAGTTTAACTGTGTACCTGTTTGTACCCCGTCTGTGTTCTGGAAGTTCCACAACAACAGGATGTTCTTGAACCGAGTCCTTTTCAAGGTTAAAGAACCAGAAAATGCCATTATTTTCACTGACTGTACTAAGAAACATCTCCCGGGTGGTTGATGCTTTAGAATGTACTGTGTGCATCCCTTTTTGTCTGCAGTGTTATCTGAAAGAATCCCTTATTTTGTACTGGATCCCATTTATACGATTCAAGGGTGAGGTTATGAAAAATTAAAGTAATATAAAGATAAACTCTCTTGAGTAACTATACATGTATGAAGTTCATTCACTTGGCCTCTTACTCATCCAGTGCTTTTTGACGAACCCTGAAAACTGCAAAGGACCAAAGTGCCTAATAAAATTGTGTCTCTCTTCTTTGCTCCAGTTAATCTTAATTATTTTGCTTTATTTGGTAGTTAACAGAGGGTTCCATTGCTGGAATGCATTTGGCCTAAAAGCAAACACTGAAGAGTCTGATAAGAAAACACTGCCATTGTTTCTAACGGGTAGATGGCGGCAGCAGGCGTCCCCTCCCCGGTGGCAGGAGTCTCTGGCACTGTGTACTGTGGGCACAGCTGAATGAAGGACGTGTGTCCTACACTTGGGGAGGGGGGCGCTGCTTAGAGGTGACCACAAATTCGTGAAGTATTTTTGGCAAGTGAAAAAAACAACACGTTCCGTAGGACATCATAGTTTAATTATCTGGACAGAAGAGTGGGCATTTCTTCCAAGAGTTTGGTGTGGTCTTCTTAGCACCTTGTCGTGCATTTGCTATAAAACTGGGATTCCTAAGCTCCGGCCTCCGGAAGGTGGGTGGGGGGGTGGTCATCACTGTCCAGCCCAGGGCTCTTAGAAAGCCGGCCTCATCCTCCCTCCATGTTGGGTGTGTTACACTGGAAAGGAATTGTTTTAGGTGTAGTCTTCATCCCTTCTCAGTATATTTCTGCTTGTAAATTTTATTCGGGGCTGATTTCATGGCGCATGTTTAGGAGGAGTTGCTTTGCCTTTGTTTTTTCAGTGATTTTGCTTTACTTAGCCCATTGCGTATTCACGGACTTACACCGAACTGGCCGCACATCCTTTTCCTGTGTGTCTCAGCCTGACAGACTGTGATTCAGAGCTAGTCCCCAGCACTCAGACATTTTAACATTTGAATGCCAGTTGAGGATTCCACAGTTTCTCAAGCCATGTGAATGAAGTCGGAGTTTCCCATTGAATGCTGAGGGCTCAGCAGAATTTGCCAGTTGGTCATTTCCTGGAGCACAAGACATTGTGCCAGTCGGGGTGTAAAAAAGACCCGTGTTCCAAATCCTCCTCTTAGGACAGGGCAGCAGAGGACACCGGGCATACCGCCCATCTTTAGATTGTCCCGGGACAGCTGTCAACCCAGTGGACCCTACCCTTTGTTGGGCTCACCTCACACGGTCAGTGGCCAGAGCCCACCTGCATGTTGTGGGACTGGAGTTAGATCTCTTGCTGAGGGCTCATTTCCACCTGCTGTAAGAGGGAGGAAAGACCAGGAAAGAGATAGCCGTCTTTTGGTCTTTGTAAATTTCGAGGTGTTCTTACATTCTTCAATGCTTCTTTTAGAGCAGCTTAACAAAATACTGTGTTCCCGTTAAACACTTAAAGATGGAGCAACATGAGATATACCGGACCATGTTTTCCTGTTGGCCACCGTGATGCTAAGTTTTCACATACCTGTCTCTGCCACAGACCACTCCAAAGAGACCTGCTCGTGGTCCTTCCCAGCCTCTCTCGAGTAGGATACCCAAGTTCCTGTGCACCTTCAGAGTCCTTCTGTTGTTGTTCATAATGACATTTGTTGAACAGTCTACATACCGTTCCGTTAACACAGTCAGGTCATGTCAGGTGATGTTGCCATTCATCTTCAGTTTCCTTGTTTTCTAGGAGCTTCTTGTATGTAGAAAAGCCCCCCAGACAAAGCAAACCTTAATTGACTAAATAAAGATATTGCATGCTCAACTTAGGATAAGCACTACGGCCAAGGATACGAGATCTACCACGCTTGCAAGACCAGTTGAAGCTGACTCAAAAATCCTCACACACGACTGACTGTCGGCAGGCTTCTTGCTGCCCCGGTTAGGGTCGGGTCTCCGTTGCTTTGCCAGAGCCCAGCGCATGCACTGGGCTCCCAGACAATCGGGGTACAAGGAGGAGGGCATGTGGCCACGGCGCTGGGGGCTCAGATCTGAGCGCAGCCCTGGGTCTTGGCACACAGGAGAGAAAGGAATGATTGGAACTTAACCTTGCAGAGCAAGTTCTGGTTTATGAGTAGTACTCTGTAGATTTCAGGGACAACAAATTCTGATGCACTCATTCTAAAATGCTTTGGTCACACACCAGCTCTTGATGCCTTTCTTTTAAATGAGTTATATACAGAGAGGCATTTAGCTTCTCTCAGCTTGTTTGTTCTTTTTCTGTTTTTTTGTTTTGTTTTGTTTTGTTTTTTTTAAATATATATCACAAGCAGATTGCCAGCATAATGGAGAGGAAACCGGATTGGATATGGATTTTTTTTTTTTAAATGCTTCTTCCAGTGTCATGTTCATATATCCAGATGGACATTATCCTCTCAGATGATTATCTGGCACTAATTTATAACTATTATATTATTGGAGACTATGTAGCAATATATACGCAGCCAGGATGCACCCCAGGCCTCTACAGATGTATGTCTACATGTAAGTATAAATGAATTTACATGCCAGGTTTTACACTTCCGTCTCTAAAAGAGAGCAAAAAATCCACAAATTGGCCTCGTCCTGAGTGGATGTGTAAGTGTTGTTTCTCTGTGCGTTCTATGCCTTCCCCTTAATTGTTGACTGAGTTGGTGGAAAATGGCTTTTATTCATGTTGTTTTTTGTTCTCAACTTTAAAAGTAATCTACCTCTGAAAATGTGTAGTTTGATGCTTGTTTGGTGAATTTGTGCCACTTTAACCCTTTCGCGACCATTCCCATTTTGTTACATTTCTGTTATGGGGACTTTTATGTTGAAATTTTGTACAAAGCATTTGTAGCAGTTTAAAAATAAAATATTTAAAATTATTTAAATTGTTTTGGACACTTCAATTGTATTATATGTGATTTACATTTTACATTTTTGTTGGAGTTGTTAATCTGGAGAGTGTTTTTGTATTGAAGTTTGCTGTTAGTTATTTTATTCTTTCTTGTTGGAGAGTGATATAAAAGACTATTCTAATGAAAACATTAAAATTTACAATTTGACATACAAAAGGGGTTGTCCGTTGATTTTAACCAATGTAGCTTTGAGAGAGAGAGAGAGGGAGGGGGGTTCATTACAGACAGGTGTGCCCTTTGCTCTTCTTCCCCTTCTGGTATGAAAGAAATCATCGGAGCTTGTCAGATGTCTAAGAAGTGTTTTTATGCTATTGCTAGCAAGCACTTAATAACTAGAGGGAATTCAAGTGATACGTTTTATATAATTGTAACCAATAAAAACACTTTCTAAACCCTTGTGAAAGGATTGCTTTTGTACATCCTCGGGAGGAAGAGGAAGGGGCCGCGGGAGCGGTCGGGGGCCGCCCTTGGTAGGAAGTGCGGCACGTAGAGTCCACCCAGACCTCTCTTTGCTCGTTCCTATTTGGCATTCACCGAATGTGGGTTACACTGCTTATATCCCAACGAGAGGGTAGACATGCAATCGGGACAGTGGTGCCGAGAAGTACCTTGTGAACTTACTTTGCTAAGAGGGAAATAAAGAACTTCATGTGTGGGGTCTCGGCTTCCTCTGTGCTTGTTAACAGTTCACTTTGGGGTTCGTTCTTTTTAAGAATTCCCGGAAGAATGAAACCAGTTGTAATGTTTGTATTAAGCTTATATGGAATTGCTGTGTGTGTGTGTGTGTGTGTGTTTTAATTAAAAACGATCGAATACAAGCAGTTTCATAATGTCTTCCACTGCAGCACTTGCTGTTCTCGTACTTTCTTCCTTTCTCTGCGTGTTACTGCACCTGAGGGCACAGTGGTGAAGCTGAAGGTGTGATCAGCCTCCCTTGGCCAGATGGTCCTGTCCCGTCTCTGGCGTATGGTCCTTATGGTACTCTGCTGTTACAGAAACCCAGGGGAGGAGGCAGGCGTGGAGGAGGTTGAGGGCTTGATGGAGCTTCAGAACGGCTTTCAGAATGCCTTGTTTTAAATGTTCTGCTCAACTCACCCAGTGCCCTGTTGACGAGTTGGGCCTTGTGCCTTGTGAGCTTGAGCACTGGGCTGGGAAGGAGAAGTGGGTTTCCATCGTGGCCCAGGTGCTAGCCATTCATCCATCCCTCCACGTGCCAGTGAACAGGCATCTGATGGGTGCCCTCTGTGTCCCTGCTGTGGGTGGCTTCACCTTGGGCAAGTTCTTTTACTTTCTGGATCTTCGTTCCCAATCTGGTTAGCAGGGAATGGGCTAGATAGTCTCTGAGTTTTCCTTCCAGAAGGAGGTCTTTTTTACTGGGGATTGGTTACTCACAGACTATCTCGCTGGACTGAAGGGGCAGGGCCAGGTCTGGCTCCGTGGGACCCGGGTGCTGACAGCAGTGCCTGAGTGTGACAGGCACGCGGACATTGACTCAGTGGAAGAGTCCCCAAGAAGTCCAGTAACTCCCACCCCACCAGGAACAGGCTGCCCCCGGGCTGGTTGCTTTTCCTCTTTATGGAGTCAAACATTTTAAAAAATTCAAAAGGCTAGTAATTGAAGCCTTAAGTTTCTGCTCTTTTAAAGCACCTCTCACTGTTTTTGATTACAAACCCTTCTCTAGGCTGGCTGCTTTAATCTGGTTGATTCAGGTGCTTCTAGCAAGATGTTGTACAGAATCACATGAATTTATCGTGCACCCACCATATACCAGGGCTGTGTTCGGGAGCCTAGGTTACGTAAGTGGACCAAAATCCCGGCCCTTGTGGAACTTATATTTGCTCGGTGGTCTCTCCTATTTATACTTCCTATTGAAAACGTCGTCACTCTGTCACGGTTCTCCAAAAGCTGGGTGGTCAAGAAGATGCCTCTGGTTTCTTCTTTGAGGGTAGATATCTAGAGGACTGCCATCTTTTAATACTTAGGTTAAAGTGACCATACTAAAATGATAGCTCATTTCCTGCATTTGATACTTAGGTGGATTTTGATTTGCTATCAAACCTTCAAATGGATTGACTTATATCCGTAAAAGAAGTGTAAATGGCACTTGACCTTGAAAGTGGATTACAGTGCAGGTGAGTGAGAGAAAGGCTGCCTTGGATACCAAGGCCACATTTAAAGACCTGGCTGATGGCTAGAGGAAGTGGTTTGCCATTTGTCACATTTTCGGAGACCCGGTGGCCTGTGGCCTCTTCCCTACCTGGTGGCACCAGCCCTGCTGCTCCCACTTGGGCATCTCATCTTTCAGTGACTGTCCTCCTAAAGCACCATTGAAGGGTGTATTCTAGAGCAGAGAGAGAGAGATCGAGTCGTCCTGAGAGACTGCAGGGCACCTGGCAGTGACTGGCATGCTGGTCGGGGGCAGGCAAGGCTGTCAGAAGACGAGCCACAGCCCTGCCCTCTCGTGCAGTGGTGCTCCGACAACCCAGAGAGGTACTAAGCTACCAGCTCCAAAGCCCTACAACCAGCCATTTAAATTAGATGGTGGGCGGGGCCTGGGTAGCCTGTAGTTTTAAGCCCCAGGTAATGTCCGTGCATGTTGCAGACTTCCTGAAGTGAGGTGGGAGAAATGACAATGAATATGTGTGGCTCTTCATTGCTCAAGCACTCGTGTGTTCCCTGTGTGCCCCATTTTTCTGAAGGCGGGAGCGAGAGGTGACCTGGGAGGTGGGGAGTAAGAGACTATTCTGAAGCCAGGCTTGAACCCTGGGCTGTAGAAAAGCATGTGTACTTTATGGAAAGAAGAGATGATAGGCCTTGAGGGGAAGAGGAAGGCTGTCCAGTTGTGCAGTTTCTTAGCCAGTATTCTAAGGTCACAGCCCCTGTTGGGTTCCCTCTGTCTGGGTGCCTGGACCTTTTTCTGGGAGTTTGCCTACAAGATGCAGGACCTTTAAGTACACAGTGCCAGGAGATAAAAGATAATAGTAGGCGCAAGGTCCGGATTGATGGGCATGATGACCTCCATATTACTGTTAAAATTCTTTTTAGACAAAATGAAAGCAGTGTCACAAAAAAAAAGATTGAATGGAACAAAGCTTAAGGTTTGAGGAGGTGCGACAAAGGGGAAAATGTAAACTGCTCATTGACCCATCCTTTGGGGCCCTGTGGCCCAGTCTCCTGTTCGGGACCGCCCAGGCTCCCCTGCTGTATACCCCGCCCCCGCCGCAGTCCCGCTTCCAACCGCATGGTGCACTCCAGCTCTTCCTTCCGCCTCCTGCCCCTGGGCCACTTCCTCTCCAAGTGGTTTTGGAAACTACCTAATAAGCCTCGTTAAGTTGGATACAGCTTTCTAGTGCTTTCCGTGCATGAGGGACTGTGCTAAGCATCTTTCAGACTTGACCCTTGACAGTAACACCTTGAAGTTGGTACCGAGCGCAGATGGGGAAACAGATCCTGGCGGGGGGGGTGATTTTGTTCAGAGGTCCTACCACTCTCAGCAAGTTGGAATTTGAGCTGCCTCCAAGCTACGCCATTCTGTTGATCATTTTTTATAGTTCTGTATATTTCTTAAAGCTTCATTTCCTCTGAATGTAGAATACAGGCCTTGATACCTTCTCTACTCAGGGCTTTTCGGCTTAGTGAACAAGTAGAGTCATCACGGTGGGTTGCGAGTCTTCCTGGTGCAACCAGAGCGCAGACGATCAGGAGTTGCCCCCGAACCCCCGTGTCCAGCCTCACTCTGGCCATGGAATATGCCTCTGCCTGCCGTAGACCTTGCAGCTCTGGACAGGCTTTATGGGTCAGTCTGCTTCGTCAAGGAAAATCTGCTTAATAGAAACCAAGCTCGTTGTAGTAATACCCTTTGATTTTGAAAGTGGTCCTAAGGATGGGGCCTGGGGGTCATCAGGAGTCCTCCTCAGATGTCACTTGAGAACCTTGCCCTGTCGGGCATTAGCCCAGAAGGATAGTTGATCCAGGCTTGCCTTCCCACCTCGGCCCAGTGCAGAGCAAAGGGTTACATTTCTGCCGGTAGTTATTTTTGAACGATAGAATTAGAGCCTGGAGGGTATATGTAGGTTTTATTTACTTTCTGGATTAAGAATAAGAATTGGGGAAAACCGTCATGCTCTGCATTAAATTACTTGCAGTTGCAAAAATGATGTTCCGTCGTGAGCCACGAAGATGGTCTTGGAGATACTTTTATAAGAGAAAACTTGCTGGGGCGCCTGGGTGGCTCAGTTGGTTGAGCGACTGCCTTCGGCTCAGGTCATGATCCTGGAGTCCCCGGATCGAGTCCCGCATCGGGCTCCCTGCTCGGCGGGGAGTCTGCTTCTCCCTCTGACCCTCCCCTCTCATGTGCTCGCTCTCTCTCATTCTCTCTCAAATAAATAAAATCTTAAAAAAAAACAAAAAACTTGCTGAACTGTTGGGATAATAGCATTTGTACATGCTTCTGTCTTCTGCCTCACTTGGACCAGCTGGATTCCCTTTCAGCTGCCTCGTATAGGAAGTGACCCGAAATTGAGGCGATGTTCCAGAAAACGTAAAATATTTTATGGAAGAAGTTAGTGTCTAAATGTGCCTCCCCGTGTCCAGCTAGCCACCCACTGCAGGAAGCCAGACAAAGCACCCGTCCGATGAGGGGGACATTTCACTGATGAGCGAAAGCGACGGATGGATTTTGAAGCCCAGGTTTATGCCCTGAGTCAGAACACATTTAAGCGAGGCGTTTTTCCGTATCTGAATCCATCTGTGGTTGGACAGGCACCTATGGTATGACCTGGAATTGTGCTTGGATAACTAGCAAGTCTTAGTGTGAAATCTAAGTGTAAATTTTAAATAGGAATCATTAAAAAAAGACCCGGCATCTGTTGTTGTACAGGTAAGTTAATAACCAAAGGGGATTTAGGCCTTAGGATACAGTTGTGGCGATTTTAATTTTTAATTTAAAAGTAAGAATTTCCGTTTAA